GGAACTTCCAGATTGATTTCCAGACTGGCTGTACCAGTTTGCAATTCTACCAGCAATGGAGGAGTGTTCTTTTTTTCTCCATATCCTCAACAGCATCTGCTGTCATCTAAGTTTTTGATGCTAGCCATTCTGACTGGTGTGAAGTGGAGTCTCAGGGTCGTTTTGATTTGTATTTCCCTAATGACTAATTAGGGATGTTGAACACTTCTTTAGGTGCTTCTCGGTCATTTGAGATTCCTCTGTTGAGAATTCTGTTGGGTTACTTGGTTTTCTGGAGTCTAACTTCTTGAGTTCTTTGTATATATTGGATATTATCCCTCTATCAGATGTAGGGTTAATGAAGATGTTTTCCCATTCTATATGTTGCCATTTTGTCCTACTGACAGTGTCCTTTGCCTTACAGAAGCTTTTCAGTTTCATGAGGTCCCATCTGTCAACTCTTGATCTTAGAGTGTATAATCTTCTTGATGTGTTCCTGAATTCAGTTTATAAGTATTTTATTGAGAATTTTTGTGCTTATACTCATTAGTGAAATTGTTCTACAGTTTTCTCTTTTTGTTGTTAGTTTTCCTGTCCTGCTTTCATATCAGAATGATTCTGGCTTCACATAAGTTTATTACTGTCTCTCCTCTAGATATTTTATGAAACCATCTGAGGACACTGGTGTTAGCTCTTCTTTAAAGGTTTGGTAGAATTCTGCAGCAAATACCCTTGGTCCTGCACTTTTCTGGGTTGAGAGATTTATTAATGCTTCATTTTGCTGCTTGTTATACAACTGCTTATAAGTTATGTATATAGGGCCTCTTGATTTCATTTTATAAATTTCCAAGGATTTTTGTTTGTTTGTTGTTTGTTTGCTTTGGAATATATAGGTTTTCTTTTTTTGGTTTTTTGTTTGTTTGTTTGTTTCGAGACAGGGTTTCTCTGTATAGCCCTGGCTGTCCTGGAACTTACTCTGTAGACCAGGCTGGCCTCGAACTCAGAAATCCGCCTGCCTCTGCCTCCCAAGTGCTGGGATTAAAGGCGTGCGCCACCACCACCCGGCTGGAATATAGGTTTGAAAAGAAGTTTCTAATTGACCTCTGGATTTCAGTAGAACATGTCCTAACATCTCCTTTTTCTGGTTTTAATCTGACTATAAGTTTGTTAATCATGGTTTTGTTTTCTCCAAATTCTTTGTTTGGCTGATTCTTGTTCTTTTAGTGTACATTTCATTAATTTCACCCAGTTTTTATTATTTGTTTCTGTCTACTAACTTGGATTTTGCCTGTTTTTTTTCTAAAGTCTCATGGTACAATCATTAAGTCATTTTAGTTCTCTCTGACTTCTGTATGTATGCTTATTTATATTTGTGTGTGTGTGTGTGTACATGTGTACACAGAGGTCAGAAGTTAAACTCAGGTATTGCCCTCAGTAATTCTCCACATACTTTGTGAGGCAGCCTCTCTCTCTTGTATGTGTGTTGGGTAAGCATGTGACTGTGTAGGTCTATGTGCCCATGTACATGAATGTGTCAGCCAAAGCAAGGCACTGAGTGTCTTCCCTTATCACTCTCTGATATACTGCATTGTAGAATTACATACTGAACTTGAGCTTGAGTTTTTGAGTTTCAGCTATGCTGGCTAGACAGCAAGCTCTGGTGATGCAAGACAGTCTCTCAATGAACCAGACACTCAGGGATTTGGATAGACTAACTGGTGAGCAAGCCCCAGGGATCCTCCTGCTGCCACCTCTTCAGCTATAACCTCCCCTCCTGGAAATGCCTTAGCTATATCCCAAAAGTTCAGATAAGTGGCTCGACTCTAGGAATTTTTAATTCCCTTATTTTTTTATAACTTAGTAAAATAATTAGATATAAGAAAATAGTTAAACTCTTAGAGATTGAGTTATCCTATGTATAAATCAAACTTTATGAAGTCCATATATCTCATCTTTAACATCAAAATTTGTGATATTAATGAAGTTGACCTCTGTGAAATACTGTCAGGCCCTCTAAAATAAGAAAAACAAAATTATCACTTGTCAATAAATATTCAATTTACAAACTATGAATTCACAAACATGTAACTGTAGACAGCATACACCATTGTGGCAAAACACAATTCTATAGTTGCTGACCATTTATTTCTTTACAGTTTCTGAAAAGATATGGGTTTGGTGGTCAAACGCTGCTGACAGCCATAATTTTTACTCTTTTCAGTACTGAATCATGATTGAAATACATTACTGAATATGAATTCTATCCCTGAAAAAGAGCAGAATATGAACTGATATGGTACAATCTCTTACACTTAATAACCCAAGACTCCCTTTCCTATAGATTTTTGTAGTTTTTCTGTAGTTGTGCTTTGAGCTGAAGAAACAAATGCAACTTCTCTGGACTATAAGTAGTTTTAAAATAAATCAACCAATCAACCAACCAAAGCAAGACACAAACAAGAGAGCTCTTGTTTCGATCTTCCGTGCTAACTAGCAACACCTAATGAAGTGCTGGTATGTTCTCTGAATAGCAGAACTTTTCTTCTACCAAAAAAACAAAATCCCCGCTAGCATACATACGACACTAATTGCTTTTCCAGATGGTGTGCTTTTGATAAGACATTTTTGCCAAAAGCTCATTTTATTTTCTCTCCAAGTATAATATTTATCATGAACTTTGAAACTGGTTTTACAAGCTTCTCATTTGTAGTGTGTACTGAGACTTTTTTCTATGAAATTTCTAGTTACTTTAGTAGGAGGGCACTCTAGCTTTAGTAATAATATTCATTGATATCACTCCAAAACTTATTTATATTGTTTTATGCACACATTTCATTTTTCATGATACCTCTAAATGCTAATTATTATAAAGAAGCTAAGGGCCATGACCTCAGTTTCCCAGGGTGTCATGAAAGAAGCCTGTGCCCTCCCTGCAGACCGCAGCTCAGCACTGCACAGGCCCCACCCTTCCCTCACCTACTTTACTCAAATTTGTGTCCACCTCGTTCCTTGGTCCAGATGAAAAACATGTTTAAAGGTAACGCCGTAGTTGTGTAGCATGTAATAAAGGACATATACTCTGGTAAACTTCCTAGGGTCTTAAATTCTTCTTTCGAGTTTTACTGATTTCACTTTACTGGCATCCATCCCAGCAACACAATTCCACAATCTCAGAATCTAAACTTCTCTAAAACATTGTCAGAGACTTCACTTCAAAGGTATTATGACATTTTCAATTCTCTTTATTTTCAAAATGGAAAATTAACTCATGAGACCTTGCAATATTGGGGAGGTATGTGAAATTGACTAATTGATATTTTTGAACAAGAATGTTAGCAACCTATTTTAAGCTACAGAGAACTTTTAGAAGTAGAATCACAGCATCTAAACAGTTAGCAAACAAATTCACATGATCATAATTTCCTACACCCAAATCTTGTCTATTAGTAAGTTCTCAATATAGAACTTAACTGTATTGCTTAGAAAGAGAATCAACCTCATGATTTTATGGTTATACATAATTTGGTTTCAAATGTTGATTTTAGTCTTGCTGGCCTCAGAGTACACATGCTAAGTAACCAATGTCTTCAACATCATTCATAATAAAGTTCTAGAGTAACTGAAATCTTTCCACAAATCTGAAAACCATTTTTGTTTTATTCTGTTTTATTGTAAAGCTTGGACACTCAAATGATACTAAGTAGAGTTAAGAAGAAATGTCATATTTGAAAACAGTAAGTACGATGGTTCTAAGAGTAAGACAAACCATATATTTATGCATTATTTACCTTTGATTCAAAATCACACACACACACACAAAAAAAATAAATATGGGAAAGTACATTTATCTACTATTAGATGCCAGTGACATTTTTTAAACTTGTTACTAAGGCAACATCACACTTGTACATGATCTGAGCTAACTTTTCTTTAACACAGTGATTGATTGCACCATCCTCTTCTAGGAGGAGTCTTTTACAGTTTAGGATTACCACAGCACTGTTCTTATTCTTTCTAGTATACTGCTTTCCATATTTTCCTAACAAAACAAAAGATATGGAATTAATCCTACTAAGAGATGACATATTTTTCTCAGTTTTTTATCTTTATATTCTAACAAAATACTATTTTCTAAATTTCTGTAGAAATACCTAGAAATGAAATCAACTTTGCCTATCCCAACATACATTCTTTATATCTGTATAGAAAAATATAGTGAAAAACCAAATTTATTTCATTTTTAAATGAAACACATAAATAACTCTCTCCTGTTTACAATTGTATGCATTCTTAAAAACTAGATAACTGCTGTTGTGTTTGTTTTCTCTGATATTACCTTCCTTTTTGGTTTTAGTTGTCTTGTGTATTCACCCTATGGTTTAGAGGAATCACGTGATTCTCTATTATATATCTTATCTTCCTCTTCCACTCGAAAGTAGTCCACCAGATCCAAAGATTCCATAGGAATAGCAGTGACACTCCTGGTCACTGAGTTTAAGAGAAAGGGAGAAACAAGTTTCTAACTGACCCACAGAATGGCCTCATTAAAGTTCTCACTATGAATGAGTGGGTCTGTTAGAACGTTGGATTTAGTGGTTAAAGTCAAGGATCATGACCTAATCAAATAACCATTAAATCGACTTTCTTTTTAGCTTTGTTCTGTGGAAACAGGGTCTCAACCTCATGGTGATTCCCCTATCTCAGTCTCCTAAGTCCTGGGTACACAGGTGTGCAAAGGACACTCAGGTACGGCTTACTTCAGTACTAACTTACAGACTATTAATCTTCTTATCATTGACACACTTTGTTTGTTAGAAGAAACATATTTTCCAAAATCTAAGTTTTTTCCCTGCTGATGTTTTGGGGAAGGTGGAGTGATGCAGGACACGGGAGCAGTGAACTATTCTCTAAAGGCTACATACTCGAACATATAAGAAGAGTTAAACTTATAAAGCCCTCATACAGAAATCAACATTGCAAAACCACTACCAACAAGTCAAGTAAAACTGTGCCTCAAATACCTTTGAATAAGTAGAAATTCTGAATGTTGGTGTGTTCATTTGGAAGCAAGGTTTCCTCCTATGTGATCTTGTCTGAAGGGCCTTGGTTTTATCATCAGATCAGTTCCAGTTACATTTCCTTTAGTATGGACAGATCTAAAGCAGAAGGAAGAAGGAACACTTAGGCCATGGAAATCATGATGAAGTCACTATTTCCCTGCAAGCACACAATCTTAGATGATCTAATTGGTTGAAAAATGACAATTCTCATTCATGTCACTGCTGCAGGTGGAAAAGAAATTAAATCAAAGATTAAAGGTATAACAGGGAGATATATAATGTTCAGAAGTTGACTGGAATTTTTGTTAAGGTCAGATAGCTTATGGTGATCTGCAGCAAACTGATTGTGCACTGGTGTCGCAAAGCCACAAGGGCCTCAGACTGTCCTCACAAAGAGCTGCTGCAGTCATCTCAGCAGCCTCTACACCCTCTATACCCTGACCCAGGTAACACCAAACAATGGGGAGAACAGGAGTCAGACTAAGACAACTCTGCAATAGCAAAGAGCCCAGTGTCATGGACAGTGCTCATATCTGGGCCACTGGCAATGCTGAATGCTCCTCTTTCACCTCAAAGTCGTCACCAAACAGGGGGCACTGTACAGCCAGGGGCTTCTTAAGAGGGTGAGACCTAATGGCTCTAGTCTTATCACTCAGGGTGAAGTTTGCATGCTAGAAAGCTAACCCTACCAACTAACTGAGCTGTATTCCCAGTGCTAAGCACTAACTCTTCATTAACATTTTTCTAAATCACAAAAATAGATAATCAAGCTTCAGAGATGATCATTCTATCAGATCAATTTAGGAACCTAGGCTACTTAATTCTACCTGTGGTTCCCAGGACTGACATCCAATCAGCTTTATTCAGAACACTAACATCTGGCCAACTACCTTCTCTCCTTGTCGCATACCCACAGTCTTCTCTGCTTTTCACCCACCCCATTTATTCCACAACTGCTGTCCTTTATTCCACACAAATGGTCAAGTATGTGGGAAAAAAGTGTTCAGCATCACTAATAAACAGGGAAATGCAAATCAAAACCACAATGAGATATCATCTCACTTCAATAAGAATGACTACTATCAAAAAGACAAAAGGCAGCAAGTGCTGATGAGGATGTGAAAGAAAGGGAACCCTTGTACACTGTGGTTGGAAATGCAAATTACTACCTCCATTATGGAAAGCAGTATGGAGATTCCTCAAAAATTAAAAATAGAACTACCATATGATCCAGAAATCCATTTCTGAGTATGCATCCAAAGGCAATGGAATCAGTCCATCAAAGAGACATCTGCACTCTGATGTTCACTGCGGCACTATTCATAATAGCAAGAGATGAAAACAGCTCAAGTGCCCATCAACCGATGAATGGATAAGGATAATGCGGTATACACACCCAACAGAATATAGTCAGCCATAAACCAGAGTGAAATCCTGTCATTTGTGACAACATGGATAGAACTGAAGAGAATTACTAATTGAAATAAGCCAGTAACTAGAAGATGAGTACTACATAAACTCACTCCCATGTGGCATATAAAAAGTTGATCTTGGAGAAGTTAAGAGTAAAATGGTTATTACTAGAAGCTGGGGAGATTAGGGGAGGGAGTAATAGGTACTAATTTAGATAGAAATAAGAAATTCTGATGATCTGTTGTACAGTGGTATTAACAATGCAATATCTACTTCAAAGAGATTGGGGGAAAATTAAGTGGGTTGTTTTTCCACAAAGAAATAATAATTGTTTGAGGAAGCAAATGTTTAACTTTATTAAAACCATTACATAATGAACATATACATATATCAACATTGTCACATGCTAGGGAGATAAAGACAAGTAGATCCCTGAAGCTTCCTGGCTAGACAGCCTCGGTTATGTGGCAAGTATTAGGCTCATGAGATTCTATCTCAAAAAACAAGGTGGGTGGTAACTGAGGAGCAATAGCTGAGACTGTACTTTGATCCTCACATATATGTGCCATATGTATCCGCAAACACACACATAAGGGAAAAAACATATGATATCCCACAAAATAAGATATACTTAAAAATTCAACCCCATTAATATTATTGTATGGTTTATGTATAAATTAAAATATGTAGAATAATCTTAAATTGGGCCAAGAACTTGCTGTACAAGCATGAGACCTAAGTTCAGATCCCAGAACTGAGTGTTTGGTTGAGCATCTGTCACCCAAGTAACCAGGAGTGAAGACAGGCAGTGCTCAGAGTCTAGCTGGATTGATGAGCTTAGGGTTCAGTGAAGAGTCTCAGAAAAATAATACTGTGAAAAATACCCAACACTAACTTCTGGCCTCCTCGTGCAAACACTTATATGTGTGCTCACATGTGTGCAGACACACAAATACATACACACATATACAAAACACATGTAAATTTTTTTAAATCCTAAAGATGCTTATTCTATTAATGGATGAGTTCTCTTCTGTGTCATTTTATCTTTACTCTACGACCCTATCTAAAGCCAATTAACTGTCTACCCACTGAAAAATAGAGGGACATTCCTCAAAGTGAAAGGTCTTAAAATCTGAAAGCAGCCAACCCTCACTGAGGATTGTTATCAACTGGCTTGAGAAAAATGAAACAGTATACAAGAGATAAAGGCCAATAGATGTTCTGTTCTATTTGGAAGATCAGCAATACTTCATTAAAAAGGTAGTCTCTCTGGTTGAATTTTCATAAATGAGGCAAATAAAGGAAAACGGAAAACATTATTAAAGATCAGCAAGAACAGCATACACCTTGTCAAGAATTATGGTGGTTTAAATAAGCAACGTCTCCAATAGGCTCACGTATTTGAACACTTAGCTCCCAGGGGTGACACTGACCAGGAAGGTTATGGAACCTTTAGCCTTTTGAGAGGAGGGACATCACTGGGGCCCAGCTTTGGGAGTTGATACCTTTGCCATTCTTCTTGTTTTCTCTCTGCTTTCTGTGTATAGATAAACGTATGAGTAGCCAACATCCTGCTTCTGCCTCCATGCCATGCCATTCCTACTATGATGGACTCTATCTCCCTGGAACCATAAGCTAAAAACCAAGCTCTTTATCTTCTAAGTTGCTTGTATGTGTTTTATCACAACAGCAGCAAAGTAACCAATAAGGAAACTAGTGCCAGGACACTGGGGTCGTTGCTATGAAGAACATGGAAGGGTTAGGAACTCTGGACTAAAAATACTATCGAATACTGTAAGTGGAGCCTACTGGACCATTATAATAGAAGCCTTGCAGACAGCACTGCTGAAAGATAATGAAGACAGTGGAGGTCTGGCTCACAAGGTTCTGAGGTGAACAAGACTCTATTAACAACTGGGCTAGAAGCCTTCCATGTGACAATTTGGCAAAGAATCTGCCTGTATTCTGCCCAGGTCCTGAGAATTTGCATCAGCTAAATTAAAATGCAGCAGATTAATTTCTTTGGCAGAGGAAATTTCAAGACAGTGTTATACTGAGTCTGTGGTATGGTTATTGCTGACTACTCTTGTACAGTTCTACAATGAAGAAGAAAACAGCAAAAGAAAGGTGAGGCAGAAAGAAAATACATACAGTTTGGTGGGGAAGCTTAAGCTTTCAGTCAAGTCTTTTTTGAAAAGAGGTAGTAATGGTTAAGGAGATTAATTCTAGAGAGAGTTTCTTACTCTGAATTGGAAATTTTGAAAAGGTGCCTTGAGGGCCAGACCCATCAGTTAAGCCTCCAGCTTGTGAAGAGAACCTAGGAATTACTTATCCTAGCAAGCAACTGCCTAGTAAGGCTTTCACTGGCTTCAGTGTATAGAAACTTCTGTAGTTGTGATCTAAGGGTACAGGGGACATCTTAAGCTAGCATCTGAATGTGGTAGTCTCATGTATATGGAAATGGTTTTAGAGACAAGAAAGACACAAAATTGAAGTGGTCATGGATTGTCATCATTTCCCCCACCCCACCCCCATTTCTGAGAGCCACCGAAGCTAGGCAATGTGTGGTGGGATTGAGGGACCTGTAAGTAGGTCTGAAGAGGCCACTGGTAAAGCAGTATAAAGGTGAAGCCCAGAATACAGTGGAGACACTAAGATGTCAGAGACGCTAGAACTGTGGGATGTCCACCAAGGAGAGCAGCATACTGAGAGTCCACTCGGCCCAGAAGAAAAACGTATGTGGCAAGCAACAAAACTGAAGATCTAACACACGACAGGATTTAGCATTTGCCCTGCTGGGGTTCAGCCTTGCTTTGGCCCATGATTTTCTCATTGTGTCCTCAGTTCCTTTTTGGAGTGCTAACATACTTAGGAACTATAGAATTTGTTCATTTGTTTTTTAGCTTACAGGGTCTCAGGTAAGAGACTGCCTGGCTTTTTGAACAGTAATGATTAAAGGGGCATTAGAAGAAGCTGGACTAAATGCATTTTGCATCATAAAGTGGCCATGAGACTGTTTTTTTCTCTTTGATTTCTGTATGTGGATGAAAATCTGATCAGCCAGCCACTTGAGTGCTCCTGCCACATGCCTGCCTTCCCCAGCGTGACAGACGCACACACTCTCTCTGGAACCATGAACTAAAATAAACCTTTTTTCCCCTTAGGTGGCCTTTCTCATGGCGTTTTATTACAGCAACAGGAAGGTGGTTAATACAGACCCTAAGCAGCTCCACTTTTACACAGAAGGCAGAAAGCCACAAAAGCATGCCATCCCTTAGGTGGAGTGGGAGGATATCTATCTGTTTCTCTGTGTGTGTGTGCATGCGTGTGTGTGTCTGTCTGTCTGTCTGTCTCTCTTCCTCTCTCTCTCTCTCTCTCTCTCTCTCTCTCTCTCTCTCTCTCTCACACACACACACACACACACACACACACACACACTTTGCTTATTCTAACAAACAATGGAGCAACCTAGTTAATTTATTATTTACCAAGTAAATCTAGTAAAATTTCAAATAAATTTAATTCTCCTTGGAGGAATAAGCTCCTCCAAAAAAAGACTGGACAATGCTTGGTAAATCTCAGAAAAAGAAGTGGCCAATATACAGCAGTTTAATAAGAACTGAGCTGAGCCGGGCGGTGGTGGTGCACGCCTTT